GGGAAATCTGCCTTGCTGCTCTCTTTGGTGTCCCTACTTGGTAGATAGGTAAATGGAGACCTACAAGAGTCAATCTACAAGGCTCTAATTTGACATCTTTTGCAAATACTAAAATCACCAAGAGAAACAACTTCAAGAAAGGAAAAATTGTATTCTGGCACAAAATACAGGACTATGTAGCACTACATAGTCCTGTATTTTGTTTCAGCTACACCAGACTAACACGGCTACATTTCTATCACTTTTCTGGCACAGACACTGGAAAATGCAAAATGTAAGGCTTGATAGCCGTATTTCCAGCTGTTCTTTAAGAAACAGACTGGGTCCAATGTAAGTGTGCTGCATGTCTATGTTTGATGGCATTACCTTTGAAAATCAATTTGTTTTTCTTGTTTCTGATAAGAGAGAATCTGGCAGTTATGTGGCACATTTTTCCAAAAGACACATTGGACTAGAGATTGTTTCCAGGAGATCTACATACATTAGACTGATGAGAAGTTACTGCTTACTACGAAGAGAGCATACTCCTGTGTGATGGAGATGACATTTACAAAGGTTAATAATCTTGTGAAAAATGTCTTGAATGAAATAATATAATTCAGTGGTAAAATAGCACATTTAATCACCTTCTTCCTCCATCTCAGTTCTGGGCTCCATCTATGGTACAGGTTTAACTGCTGAATTTTGTATTACTTGCTGAACTAACTGGAGCAGTATTTGAAAGTGCATAATATTAATAAATACATTATTACAGATCTGCCACTTCAGCTAAAGGACAAATGATTGCTGATTTGCCCCAAATCCACTGCTTATGTCTGCCTATCCCTTTTTTAGCATTGTCCTTTGAAACATTTTACGTAGTTGTCACACATTAGCAGATGATGGACTTCCACAGGCAACTTCCAATGAAGATTATTTTTTTAAAGGCAAATCCTATCATAATCTCCTGTTTTGGAGGGTCACAGTGGTCATTTTGCATCTTGCTCCATGGTCCAGCTTCTGAATTTTGGCACTTGATCGCTGGGATACAGGAGGGCAGGAGTGCTATATGCGCCCAGAACCTGCTCAGATATTACCTGAAACAGGGATCGAGGCAAATGAAGAATTGTCTGTTTATATGGCCAAACTGAACTGTGACTGTCCCACTGGTGGAACAAACAACTACTTCACTATTGCCTCATTCGTGCCCCAGACTAGAGTTTATTTGCCCATTGTAGACTACAGCAGTGATGGAGATGTCCGGAGAAATTAAATGAGCCTGATTTCAAGCACATCACTCTTTTCTGCATAAGCAGGTGAATGGTGTCAGTAACCTAATAGGGAACAGATGAGAGAGACTTATTTTACACTGTTAGTGCTGAAGAAGGGTGAAATACACAAAATGCACAATGGTTTTCCTTATGTGTCACTCTTTAATTTTAATTATTAGTAAATATAGAAGAGAAATTATGCCTTAGTATTTTACTTGTACCTAAACTATATGACTTGTTTGTAATTTACATTGCAAATCTGACAGAAAAGCAAAACATATTGGCTGTGTCTACATTGGCACCCTTTTCCGGAAAAGGGATGCTAATGAGACACTTCGGAATTGCAAATGCCACAGGGGATTTAAATATCCCCCGTAACGGTAGTTCGGACTAGGAAGCCTAGTCTGAACTACCTAGTTCATGCCGCGTGTAGCCGCGCGGCACGGGGTTCGAACGAGCAGGGATTTAAAAATGGCGGCGCCCAGTTTATGCAAATGAAGCCCGGGAAATTCAAATCCCGGACTTCATTTGCAAGTGCGGTATGCCTACATTACCCCGCTAGTTCGAACTAGCGGGGTAGTGTAGACATACCCAGGGTTAGATAACCAAAATAAGGTCTTTTTCCTTATAATATAGGAATCAGGTTTTTCTCCTGTCTTTTGGGTGTCTGAATAAGCTTTTCCCATGAGATCCTCCTGAGGGAATAAATCTTGTATACAGCTGTATACAATTCTTTAGGGTCTATATTAGGATTACCAACCTATAAGGCAATGCCAAATAGTCCTCAACTGGCATGCATTCTTTTAACAAAACAACAACGTCCTCTGGGCTCAGATTAAGGGTTTGCT